ACTTGAAGTTTCGGTCTGCTTCTTTTTGTTAACTTTATGTGTCTTTGTGGTTTACTCTTTGGGCATGAAAAGCTGGTTCCTCTAAGCTTCCGGTTCTCTCTTTTGATTTTATATTAGAGTGGCCAGATTGCTTTTGTCTTCACGAGTTCCCACAGAGGCCCAAGTCAGATGAGGATCAGATGCTCTCAGGCTTTCTCCTAAGTTCTGGATCCCTCCAGGAAAGATTTTGGCCTCAGGAATTTGGAGGTTAGACTGGCCTGGGAGCCGGGCCCAGGAAAGATGCTGGTCTAGGGCAGCTGGTGGCTGTGCCACCGAGAGATGCCGAATCTGAGTATGTTTTTTAAATGGTGAAAAAATTTCGTTCATATCTCTTAACTGAAATGTCTTATGAATCTCTGGGTTTGTTTGTTTTTATTTTGTGTGTGTGAGTGTATTGCCTGCCTGTATGTAAGTGCACCCATGTCGTGCTATGCCCAAGGAGTTAGGAAGGTGTCAGATCCATTGGAACTGGAGTTACGAACAGTTGTTAGCTGCCATGTGGGTGCTGGGATTCGAACTCAGATCTTCTGCAAGAGCAGCCAGTGTTCTTAAACACTGAGCCATCTCTCCACCTCTCTGTTTTAAAAAAATATACTCTAGGGCCAGCAAGATGGCTCAGGGGAAATAAGCATTTGCCACACAAGCCTGAGACCTGAGTTCAGTTCCCAGAATGCACATAAAGAGAAAAGGAAGGACCCAACTCCCAAAGGTGATCCTACTACCTCCACTTGAATGCATTCACAGACCTGAATTCACACTCATATATATACACACACATAAAAATAATGATAATTAATAAGTAAAAATTTAGAGGCTGGAGAGATGGCTCAGCGGTTAAGAGCACTGACTGCTCTTGCAGAGAACCGGGGTTCTATTTCTAGCAGCCATATGGCAGCTAACAACCATCCTTAACTCCAGTTCCAAGGGATCTAACACCATCATCTGACCTCCGTGGGCATTTTATGACACAGGTGCACTTGCATCATGCAGGCAATACATTCATACACATAAAAATAATAAATAAAATATAAAACATTTAATACCCTAAGTTTATAAGCCATTAATTTTAATCTCTTAATGCAAAAAGTTCATTTACAAGAAAGAAAATTGTCCCACTACACTTAGCATTTATCAACTTATATCTGGATTGTTTTATATGGAGTTGTACATCACACTTTGAGAAAGGTTCATTAACTAGGTATTTGTTCAGCACCTACCAAATGTCTGGCACTCTTCTGTGTGTCAGGGATGCAGCAGTGTTCTGGTTTTGTTTTTTTGTTTTTTTTTTAAGGCTGCCTTAGAGATTTGATATTCTAGATGGGAAGACAAGCTAAATAAATATTGTATGTTAGATGATGGTAATAACAGTAAGATAAATTAAGTAAGATGAGCGGAGAGGAGGCTAGTTATATGTATAAACTGACAAAGGAAGACCTCATTATTAAAAAAGTACTGACTGTTACAGCTCTGAAAAAGTCTAGAAGCAGTGCTCACTGGTAGAGCCCTTTGCCTAGCAGGCGAAATCTTCACACACTGCAAGAAACAAAAAGAAAGGATGTAAGCTCCTTCTCAGCAAAGCCGCTAGGAAAAGAGAAACTTAACCTAGAGAAAACAGCTCCCACTTACAAGCATTCAGTATGTACTAGCTACTTGCCAAGTGTTTTATACATGCAATCTTACCAGTGAGGTAGAGATTGCTAGTCTCTTTTTTTTTTTTTTTTTTTTGGTCTTTTTGAGACAGGATCTTCCTGTAGCCCCAGCTGTCCTGGAACTCACTATGTAGACCAGGCTGGCCTTGAACTCACAGAGATCCTCCTGCCTCTGCCTCCCAAGTGCTAAGATTAAAGGCGTGTGCCACCATGCCGGCCGGGTCTCACTTTTTAATGTTATTTTTTACATTTATTTATTTCTGTGTGTGGTGTGTGTGAGTACAGGCAGGCACATGTGTGCCGTGGTTTGAGAGTGGAGGTCAGAGGACAGCTTGTAGGAATCAGTTCTCTCCTCCCACCATGTGGCTTCTGGAGAGCAAATTCAGGATGCCACGCATGGCAGCAAGCACCTGTACCTACTGAGCCATCTCTGCTGGTCTTGTTAACTTCTTTTTTATAATTTAAAAGATTTTATGTGTATATGTTTGTGTCTGCTGATGAATATGTGCCCTCAGAGGCCAGAAGAAGGTATCAGATCCCTTGGAGCTAGAGTTAGAGGTAGTTAGAGCAACCATTGTGGGTACTGGCAAACTAACTGGGTTTTAAACACTGAACCATCTCTCTAGTCTCTTAACCTCTTTAACCTGTTTGTTTCTGTTTTTTGAGACGGGGTCTCCCTGTAGCCCCAGCTGGACTAGAACTCGCTATGTAGACCAGAGTGGCCTTGATCTCACAGAGATCCGCCCACCTCTACCTCCCAAGTGCTGGGACTAAAGGCAGGCACCACCACACCTAGCTCTTAACCCATTTTTCAGTGAAGACATGCTCTGTCAAAGGGGCAGCCTCTCAGCTTCATTATGATCTTGAACTTCAAGGCTAAGGCCTTCTGCTTTGTCCTATTATAGGTTCCTTGTCTATCTAGTCCTTCCTGCTTTTGTTGTTGTTAAGACTGTGCTGGATAACTGTTCAAGCCTAAGCAAAATATGCTAGGCACAACCTGCGGAATGCCAATGTGCAGTTTCTTCCATAAGAATACTAGGATAGGGCCTGGATAGATGGCTCAGCGGTTAAGAGCACTGGCTGCTCTTGCAGAGGACCTGGGTTCAATTCCTAGTACCTATATGGTAGCTAACAACTGTCCTCAACTCCAGTTCCGGGGGAATCAGATGCCCTCTTCTGACTTTCTCAGGCATTACTTGACATGTGTGTACTTATATACATGTAGGCAATACACTCATACACATAAAATAAAAATAATA